TAAAAAGACCCATTCTAAAATAATACCTTCCACCTGCATTAAAATTCCTGTCGGGGAAATTCTGGAATGCAATATGACTAGAATAAAATTAAGATTTGGATTCACTCTATCTACATGTGCCTCCTGTAATTTCTCTTCAATGACCATCAATTCTTTCTATGCTTCAGCTGTTAGTTCTCTGGGACTATTTAAGTCTTTGTCACCACCTAAAGTTTTGTTTAAATGAACTATTATATCAGGTGTTATCCCCACAGCTGGTCATAGTCTGGAAATGTCTCCTAGCAACCTTTGAAAGTCATTAAGAGTCCACAGTTGTGCCTTTTGTGTTCTAATTTTCTGTAAAGCTATTTTATAACCTAGGTAATTGATGGTATCTCCTCTCTGTATTTTTTCAGGAGCAATTTGTAATCCCCATTTTGACAAAACTTTCTTTACTTCTTCAAGTAAAGAAAGTTTACTTCTTCAACCTTCTTTCTAAAATATCTGCACTTGTGTCAGATAACAAAATGTCATCCATGTAATGGTTAATTATAAACTCTGGAAATTGCTTACGTATTATTTCCAATGGCAGATTTACATAGTATTGGCACAGGGTGTGACCATTGAGCATTCACTGTGAGAGGACGGTCCACTGGTTTCTTCTAGTAGACTGATAATTATTATAAGTAGGCACTGTGAAAGCAAATTTTTTTCTATTCTTTTCTTGTAAAGATATAGTGAAGAAATAATCCGTTAAATTAATTACTATAAGAGGCCATCCTTTTGGCAATAGAGAAGGCAGAGGAATTCCAGATTGTAGAGGGCCATAGGTTGAATAAGCTTGTTGACAGCTCTTAAATCTTAGTACTTTCCAAGTGGGGTAGATGGTCTTTCCAAGGAAATTACCAGATATACAGTTGAAACTCTGTGTAAGTCATCCCATGGTCTGGCATGTGCTGATGAAGCTAAATCCTCTCTTTGTACCTTCTGTCCCTGCTCATCAATTTCAATAAATTCCTCAATCTTTTCAAATCTTTTTACTACTGCCTTTTGTAAAATCTGAATCTCCTGTCCAGTGTTCTTTTCTAATGCTTTCAGTGAGGATTCCAAGGTATGAAACTTGTCCAGTAAAGATAATCTCTCATCCTTGGACATAATATTGATTACATATTACCTTCCTGGAGAGATAACTTATCCATTAATCTATCATAACTTTGCAACAGATTCCAATAGTTAAATTCAATAGCACAAATTCTGTCAGATAATTTTGTCAAATTGATACTATCCCTTTCCATAGTATTGAACCATTTTTAAATGATATAATATTGAAAACAAAACTAATTCCTAGAATCAAATAAAGGGATGTAGAAGGAAAATTGCATAATCCTTGCAGAATACCTTGCATAGTATAAACAAAATAATTTTTGAACTCCTGGATGTTATCAGTCATTTTTTGTAGCTCTTCAGATCTTACCTTTTATAAAGCAATTACAATGAATTAGAGTAGGTATAATAATTGTTATCGGTCAACAGGCGTTGCAGTTGCAGCTGTGTGTCTGAAAGACTCCAGCAGCAGCAAACAGAACATGTTGCTTACTTAGGTACTAAAAAATATGTTTTGTTTAACAAATTAAGAACAGTTATTAAGGTGATCAAACGATTCTGAGAGTTGGGGCCCAGGATAAAGAGAAAACCCAAAGTTTTCCATCAGTGCAAGCTGCAGACTGTGTGCACTGCAGGGATCGCAGGCAGCAGTGTGTAGGGTGGCATGTGGGTTACCGTCTGGGGACTGCTGAGCAGCGGCCTGCTGCATCTGAGGGCTGGCTAGAGCCACTGGCAGGAGAGTCAGAGCCCAATGCACCACATAGCTGGTGGACCTATCCCAAAAAGTGTGGACAGGGCCCCATGTTGGGCAGCAGATGATGACGGAAGTTACAAAATAATCCAACACTACTTTAGAATTACATATAATAAAGGGTTATTTATTTAGTGGAGACTCACAGATCACTGTCCTATATCACAGTCCTCTGCATGAATGGGGACCAGGAACAGAGTCTAGCAGCCAGCAGCAAGAGAGCAAGCACAAACTTTACAGCTGCATTTATAGTATAAGAGACCATGCCCAACTGGGCTGGAATCTTAAAGGCTATTGGCCAAAGGAGCTCCTGCAGCACTTCCCCTGTGGATTCTGGATGGGGATAGAAGAGGTATTTAGCCATCACTTAATGTGAGGGTTTAAACATTGATGGGCCTGTTTTCCTTTGGTGTGGGCAGGTGCTCAGTGAGCCAAGGTATGATGAGGCACATGGGCAAATTCTTTTTAGCAAGAAGAAAATATTAGTGATATTGCTTGTCTAAATAACATATCCTGTAGACTTACATCTAATGTCTGTGGAGTTGTTACCAAGTCTCTTAGTCTTTGGTTAAACTTTCTTCTGAGTGCTAAAGACCATGCAGTTGGCCAACATTAACTTTTTTTTTTGTGCTGTCAAGACCAGTTGAGCAACTAGTCCTCAGGGGTCACTTGGGCTTGAGAGGAACCTCAAATTCTTTTAGCCTCTCACTAGTTGTCCATCAATGTGAGGATAAGCTAAAGGCTTTGCTTTATGTGCTGCAACTCCCTTTGAAGCCTTGAGGAAATCTTTCCTACATTGAGCCTCCTTTTCTAGACTGGACAATGTTTCTGATTCATTGAGTGGGGTTTCCATGGCCTCCATGAACAAGACAAATGACCGGTGACCTTAGCCCCCAGTGACTTAGACCTCATTGACCTCATAGTGAAAATGGAGAAAAAGTCTCCCATTTTAGTCCTTCTAACCACATTAGAAAAACCTCCAAGAATGATTATTAAACACCCAGATGATCAGTTTTACATGAATTTGTACTTTTTAACTACTGTATAATATTTTAATAGCCAAACACTACTGAATAAACTTTTGTTTAACAAACATTTTAACCAGTCCTTAAAATAGTTGATATCTGACCTTGCCAACTTTAATACAGTATATCACCTCTAAATCTCACTTTTATGTATCTTAAACTTACTCAGAACTTCATAACTTATGAAACCTTTCCAATCTTCATTTTTCTGGAGCCATCCAGTCATCATCCTCTTCATGTATCTAAGTCCTTAATAACTAAGGTTATTCCCACATTTATATTCCTCTAACATGTCCTTTAGTGTGCTGGCTCCTTTTGCTAATACCACGAGGCACAGGAACATTAACAAATACAGGTATGATCAGTTGTGAAACTTTTCACCCTGGTGGAGGGGGATAAAACAGTGTCTGTCCCATTCCCATAAATCCCAATGACAATGCAAAGTACAATTCACCGAAATCACCTTTACTGAGCTTACTTACTGAATATAATTGAGGGGACACTTACAGGAGTTTGGATACTGTGTGGATTGATTAAAAATGGCCCCCATAGTCCCATAGAGAGTGGCACTGTCAGGAGATTTGGCTTTGTTGGAGGAAGTATGTCATGGTCACTTTCTGCTGCCGGCTGATAGGGATGTAGAACTCTCACCTATTTCTCCAGTACCATGTCTGTCTGTACACCACCATGCTGCCCGCTTTGACAATGATGGACTAAACCCTCTGAAAGTTGAATTGAAATTGTATAAGAAAATTAGTATTTCCTAGGTGTAATCTGCTAAATTAAACCTTTGAGAAAACACAAGTTAGTCTTCATATGAATACATGACATCACTACTATAATCAGACTTTTGGTTTTAATGGGTGTATGTAGGCAATAGGAAAAAAAACAGCAAATAGATCACAAAACATCGAATTGATATGTACAGTATCTAGTCCAACACAACTAGAAATCCCTCTTAAAGCTGTGATGCTGCAGATGACTATAGAGAGATCTACACACAGAGGGTCTCCCCATTCCCTCTGCGTAGGAGCATCCCATTAGCTGTTTTAACCACAGATATGTATACCAATAATGGTATACATAAAGGGTGAATAGTCATTCAGATCCTAGCAGCCTAATCTCTAACAGGCCTGGTTAACATACTACTTTGGGGTATTTTAGTGGCAGCCCTCTGTTAGTTAAATTCTCCATTGTGTGATTCACTATCTCCCAAGCATTGGTAAATCCTTTATACCACCAGTTTTACTCTTGTACAGTAAAGCTTCAAAATGGAGTGCTACCCAGTACCTGAGATGCGATTTACTGCGTCCACAAAATTAACTCCAAATGGATCTTACACCTAACTGTCAAATTGGAAGTGTAGAACTTATAGAAGATACCTGAGTTTGGCCAACTGTCTAGACCTCGGGAGCTTTCCTTACCAGTCTAATGCATAGAGAAGAAACAGAACTCCTTCTCTAAAACTAGAAATACGCTTGGGAGAGCTGGTAAAGGGCTGGGCCAGGGCCTTTGGGAATGGGGTTGCTTCAGATCCAGAGAACCCAAGTCTTTTCATACATGGGTCTGTCTGTGTTATCAGTCCCAACACCATTGTGGAATATATATACATATAATGTTCCTGAGATATCCTTTTTCTTCTTGTGTGATATTTTCTTATTAGCCTCCTTCTGAATTTGCATACTTCCCCATTAGCGGGGGGCGGGGAGGGGACGACAGTGGTGGTGCATGGCTTTAATCCCAGCACTTGGGAGGCAGAGGCAGGCAGATCTCTGTGAGTTCAAGGCCAGCCTGGTCTACAGAGCAAGTTTCAGGACAGGCTCCAAAGCAACACAGAAACACCCTGTCTAGAAAAAGAAAAAAGAAAAAAATAAAAAAGAAAAGAAAGAAACCAAAAAAACCTGAAACCATTGGTTTACATTAGCCAGAGATTTGCTGTTCAATTTGGCAGGAATCTCCAGCCATTGTGGGATAGGTTATGTGTTGCAGTGAAGCCAGGGTTGGGTAGCACTGCGTTGTGTCCTTTCAGCTCAACCAGTCCTGTCATTCAGGCCTCACAAGCCAATCAGGGCCTCCATCGGACCCTCCAGTCAGATGGGAGGGTTCTTCCGGACGCCAGGCTCAGCTCCTCTGCTCAGAAAGTCGGAAGTTGGCCTGTTTGCTGTCTGTGTTTGGGCTTCCCTGTGGGGAGTGTGCGAGCAAGCCTGTCAGCAGCACCGTGGTGAGTGAGGGGCTGTCCCGAGGCAGGGAGGTGTGGCCGACCGTGGTGAGCGAGGGGCTGCTGTCCCCAGACTGGGAGGAATGGCTGGTTGAGCCGCGGGAGTCGGTGTGGTGGGTCAGCCCCTGGCAGGGTAGGAGCCAGCGGCCAGACGCAGTGTTCCTCGTGTTCCTGCCTGGTCCTGCGTGGTTCTGCGTGTCCCGTGCATTCCTGTGTATCCCGTGTGGTCCTCCGTGTCCTGTGTGTAGTCCTGCGTGGTCCTGCGATGTCGTTGCAACTCCGTGGGCCAGGACGGCAGGCTCTGAATAACTTCACTCCGTGGGCAGCGTCTGGGCAGGGCATTGGGAGCTGAACTGTCCTTAGGAATAGCCTTCTTGTTTAGGTCACTCTGAAATGCTGGCGCTTGTAGTGTTTGTATGGTCACTGTGGCAGATTTGGCAAACTCCAAGAACCCTTGTCTCTCTAGAATCTTCCAGAAGTTCTGAACTTGTAACATTTAACATTCAGGTTTAGAATCCTTCTGGAGTTAATTTTAAAGGGTATCATCTCCTGTGTAGAATAGCGCTCCATTGCTAAACTGTGAAGTGGAAGGGTGGATTTGATGCTATAATGGTTTATCAAATCACAAAGTAGAGAGAAACTAAGAGAGGGCTGGCTCCCAGGTACCTCAAAGATAAGTACTATGATAACCAGGCCTTATAGAGATTAGTATAAACTGTAAATGTTTGTTCACCGGGATTAACCAGCCAGTATACTACAATTCCCATAACAAAGGAGAAAATCCCGATTTACTACTGGCCAAGAGTCCCATCCCCCTATCAAAGAACAGGCTCTAACGTGGTGGTGCTCAAGGGACCATTACAACACCGCCAACATTAAGCCTTGGTGTGCCATGAAGATTATATATACACACACACATACGTATATTGGTTTTGTTTGTTTTTTCGAGACAGGGATTCTCTGTGTAACAGCCCTAGCTGTCCTGGAACTAGCTCTTGTAGACCAGGCTGGCCTCAAACTCACAGAGATCCACCTGCCTTTGCCTCCCTACTGCTGGGATTAAAGGCGTGCACCACCACCGTCCAGTTCAACCATGAAGATATATTAATTCTAGAACAGCTGCATCTCCAGTCTTTTTAAAAGCAGGTTTGAGTCAAGATCTTCTGTTGATTGAGGTGGACTTGAACCCTGTCTGTATCCCTACGGGGCATTGCCCTGGCTATATCCTCCTGGCTACCACCCTAAATTCTTGGATTATAGGTCTGCAGCACCACAGTTCTAAAATTACCAGTTTGAATCATGTAGTGGACTGTCCACTGCAGTAACAGGGAAAGGATCTGTGTATGTGCGTGGCTTGTCCCTTCAGACCAGAAGAGGAGGAACAGTGTCCTGTGTATACTGCAGGGGAAACAGACTGGACAGTTGTTAGATCAGAGACTGAAGGTGAGCTGCAGGGCCTCCATCGTAAAGAAGGGCCTGATGGGGCAGGTTGGGTGACTGTGTCATTTCCAAGCCTGTATTAATTCCTTCCATGGAATGAACACAGAATTAGTCGTATACAATTTAGGGAGAGTAACTTGAACCATTGGGGTATTCAGTTTCCAGTTAGGGAACTCTCCTGTGCAGATATATGCAATCCTGGTTGACACAGTTAAAGTCAGCTGAGAGGTTTCAGACGCAGGCCATTGGCTGTAACTCTGGGCCAGTTTACAGCACTCAGCAGCTTACATTTTACATGGGACAAAGTCATACAATATCTTAATAATGGCATTCTCTCTAGCGGGGACGTGCCTACTCTGTTTCGGAGTCAGTGTAGCTGAGTCAGTGTTCTTTCAATTAGGTTTATCATTTTAAAGTCAGTTATTAGTTTCATTTTTAAAATTTTATTTTCTTTCTCTTTCTTTCTTTCTTTCTTTTCTTTCTTTTCTCTCTCTCTCTCTCTCTCTCTCTCTCTCTCTCTCTCTCTCTTTCTTGAGACAGGGTTTCTCTATAGCTTTGGAGCCTGTCCTGGAACTAGCTCTTGTAGACCAGGCTGTCCTCGAACTCACAGAGATCCGCCTGCCTCTGCCTCCCGAGTGCTGGGATTAAAGGCGTGTGCCACCACTGCCCGTCATTAAAATTTCATTTTCTTTAAATTCATTACTGCTCTAATCTCTATTTGTTTATATTTTCCAATGTTTCCTTGTCATTAAGAATTTCATTGCATTTTTTTCTTAAGCACTATTTATTTATTTGTTCATTGGTTTATATCAGTTTAGAACAGTGGTTCTCAACCTGGAGGGGTGTCTAGTCTCTCTTTGGGGGATCAAAGAACCCTATCACAGGAGTAGCCTAAGATTATTAGAAAACACAGATATTTATATTATAGTTCATAACAGTAGCAAAATTATAGTTATGAAGTAATAGTGAAAATAATTTTACAGTTGGGGAGAGTCACCACAGCATGAGGAACTGTATTAAAGGTTTACAGCATTAGGAAGGTTGAGAATGACTGGTTTAGATCAATGTCTCCTATAGCTCAGGCTTGCCTCACACTGTCTAACTGAGAATTCCTATGAACATTGAATCCTTCCTCTCCTCAGCGCTGTTTAGACAGTCCTGCAACTCCTTCCAGGCTGGGCCTTTACTGGTCAGTGAGAAGGAAAAATAGATCAGTGAAAGGGTGTGGTTAAACTTCTCTGACTTATATTGGGAACTTAACAAATGAAGAGGGACCTGTGCAATAGCTGAGTTCACTGGCCAACTGTAAAGCAGGGGTAGTCACAGCACAAAAGGAGAGGGGCAAGAAGGAGGACAAAAGCCTTCCTGCTTTGACCGTAGTAGACATTAGCTATGAGTACTGAGGTAGTCAATTTTAGATGATCAATAAATGTCCTGACAGCCATTTCTCAGGTTCACAGACCAGGCCATCAAGAATCTAACTGAAGAACTAAACTTTCATGAAACCAAATTACTGTAGTCACACTGGGTCAATCGAAATAGGTGAGCTGGATAAGATGGTGCCTAGCGTGGCTGTGTTCTCCAGGTTTAAGATGAACAGTCCGAGAGAAATGGCCTGAGTAGTGCATGCTGTGCTCTAATACAAATCCCTAAGCTCCGGAGCACATGGTTATAAAGCCTGTTTCAACTTCTTAACATGATTTTTGGGATTATAATGACATCATTTCCACTATCTCTTTCCTGCCTCCAAGCCCTCCCAGTGACCCTTCATGTTGTAATCGATGGCCTCCTGTTGTTTTAACAACAGGTACAGTTTGAATGTCATGTGTGTTTGGGTGCAGGACGTCCCAGCTGTGAAGCAAAGGGTTAACCGCACTGGACATTGAGTGTGTACTGGAATGTGCTCAGAGAGGACCCTATCCCCTGGAAGAGGAACAGGAAGTGCTCTAGGAGAATGGAAGATTCTACTAACCTTCAAATTTCCCAGACTAGGTTCCTGACTGACCATAGTGTGGAGGGGCAGAGCTGGGAGAACTTGTGGGGGCTGTCATTTGATCTCTGCTCACCCAGCAGGGGAACTGCTAATGTCCTGAGACCCAGTTCCCCATCCAAGCTAATGAGGGACTCTGGAAGGTTTAGTAATCAGGAGCAGTGGGAGGTAGCTTACAGGTACTTTCCAGGATTCTCCTTTAGTTCTGCTGTAGAGAGCTGTAAGGAAGACTACAAGCCATGCCACCGTGAGTGTGGGGGGCACTGTCCACAGACCAGGAAGAGCAGATCGGCTGAGCTGTCAGAGTCCTAGCTGTTGGAACTAGGATGGACCATGAGTCAGAATATGGTTCTGTTGGTCCCTGTGGTGACCTGGGCAGTGGATATTGGCCTCTAAGCCTTGCTGAGTGTGGCTTCCCTGGGGAGGGGGAGGCTCTGCTACCCTGGCATGGGATGCTTGTAATATCACTGTCCAGTGTGCAAACACAGGCACTGTTTTGTTGTGCAGTGGGAAGACAGATTGGAAAACCAAAGGGCCTGGTTTCTAGAAGTTCTGAATGTTGCTTTCCACTTTCAGGTTTGTCTTATAAATATTCCAGAGTTTATAAATTGATAGGAAGGAGGTGATGGGGTTTATCCTTCAGCAATACATGATTAGAATGCTTCTAACTTCTGCTATCGTCAGCCACTATGGTGTGATTCTGTGAAGTTCAGTTCCAGGGGACCAAAGGAGTTTCTGAGCTCCAAAGGCATCTCAGGTTTACATGGTATTGGGCAGGTAGATAAGGCATATTCCATATTTGTGCCACAACATATACAGTAATTGCTCAGCAATATTTTCACAAGCAACTTATCAGAGCTTATCAGTGGCCCTGGAAAAGGTTAAACCAAAAGGCAAGGCTTTTTGGTGTTATTGCTTTGTGAATAAAGTGACTGTCCTTTGCTGTAGATTTTTCTCTGTAGCTGACTTCCCCTTCTGTTACATGTTTGGGAATTAATTTCCTAGTTCAGAACAATTTCCCACACCCAGACCTTGCTCCTCTCTGCTATATAAAGGCAGAGATCTGCCTTCCTGCAGTTATCTTTATCAGCAGGAATTTGGTCAGAGTTTAGGGTCCAGGCAAAGAGCATCCACCCTGTCTAAGATGTCCACAGATCCTCAAGGACATAGAATTACTACCTGCCCAAGCTGCTGCTCTGGATTTTCCCCACAGCCAGAATGGCTGATAATAGCACAGCCTGGAGCTGACTATTAGAGGCCTGGGTCTCTTCTTGGCTTCGAGCACTAAGTCTAACTCCAGACCTAGGCCTGTAGAAACTGCAGCCTCTGGTGTATGTGCTATCTGATACAGAGCTATGGCTTCTCCCTGACTGTTTACATAGGTTGCTTGGTTACCTGATTCTATGCATGCTGGGAGAGGAAAAAGCAATGCAGCAATGCGCTAGAAATAAACTCTTTAGCTTTTTACTAACCACCTAAAAATTTAGTATAGCACACTAACCTTCTCCTCTAGAATTCCCCAATGATTTAATTCCCTCTTGACTAACGTTCTCCATTATGGAGTTTACCAGAC